GATGGGGGGGGGGAGGGGTGCACGCGTTTAAGACCCTAAAGCGTCGATGCGTGTAAGTGGCACCCTTGTTCGCGACAGGAAGAGGGAGTTTTGTATTTGCAAGTAGACTTACCGACACCAGGATAGGGTTGCATTCCAGGATACGCGCCGGCGTGTTGTAAAGCCGCCTCCCCATTGGGCAGCCCCTGAGCTGGAATGGACAGATGGAGGGCATCTACACTTCAGTAAGCTCAGCTCTTATCAGGGGCGGGCCTATTATAAGGCCCCTGCCACACCGACGGACCAATTTATTTCGCGAGCTCACAGATTACAAGGTAATACAATCCCCCGACCCCCAACGCCCACCACCCACCTCTAAGATCCGAATCCAGATAGGAATTACTCGCAGGTGGCATTCACGACGGTTAACTCTCTGGCTCGACTCCGGCGGTGGTGAGGGGGTTGGTTTGCAATTTCCCAATTGCAACCCCAGAAGTGAATCGAGCTACGTGGCGCTTAAGCATACCTTTCAGCGACTGCCTTTAAAGCGTTTCGAGACGCTTAATTGCAGGGAATGTGATCCCTTTGGAGAAAAACAATTCCCAACCCTCTGACTACCACCAAGGCTACCCCCGTTCCTGCCCTCAGCTAAGTCTAGTTAAGGGCAGTACAACGAAATTCCCGCACCCGCTCAAAGATCGCTGATGTTAATTATTTTTTTTCTTCTTCATTTTCCATCCCCCATTTCAGCATCTTTTTCCCATTTACAGTCCCAAACCCGCCCCACTGCCCCCCGTGTTCATCACAGCCCTTCCCTTCGACTTTCCTCTATTGCGTTTCTCTCCCTTTTCTTCTGCCGTTCTTCCTCGCGCTGTTGCTCACCCCTCATCAACCCCCAGCATCCCAACGGAGCCAAATTAGCAGGAGGGGTTGCTACCTTCATTCGACTGCACATTGAGCGACGTTGCCGAAGAGGGATATTTCTTTCTATATTTCGGAATAATAAAGGCTCGTCGATTGGCCAGTGGGTGCGCAGGGGCGGCGCTATGCGCCCGAGTTGATACTCACGTGCCGGGTAGGTCTGGGGGATGCCGTTGGTGTAGACTCCTGCGTCCGAACCGGCTGGCTGACCATTCGGTGTTTGCGCTGCCATATTGTAAGTCGGCATCGTCGGCGAAGGTAACGAAGGTATCGCTCCGTTCACTGGCTGCCCTGTACCGGTACCTACGAGCAAACCTGATCAGTACACACCGATTACCTATTCCTGTTCGTCAACATCGACGTCCGACGCCCTTATCACAGAAAATCCATAGATACAACCAGCAAATCCATCGTTCTAAATATATTGTATATATACACACACGCTTTATCAACCTTATCAATTAACCAACCGCGTAATTGGGTGAAAGAATGACCTTCGCCATGATTTCTGGTAATCTTGCTAAAGTGGGACTGACAGGGGCGGCTCGTAGCTACAGTTCAGAGCTCACGGAGACTTATATGAAACGTCAGATCGTAACTTCTCGACGAAATTAAATGTGAGGAAATAACTGAAGCGATGGATAAATGTAAAAAATATATATATATACACACAAAGTATAAGGAATACGTGCAGTCTCAGATACTCAGACGGAATAAAAAGAAAATTTCGCTAGTCGTATTTCGAGAATTGCCTATGTGGTTGCGTCGTAAAGTTAAACTCGCAAGACCATCGTTCGATATACGATGTAAGGGTGCGTTTCCACGAGTATCGGTATTGTGATCGTTATAGTTGGATGCTGTGCTGGATATAACGTTAAGGGTATCAAGGACAACGCGGCAGGGACATCGTATACTATATACAGATATATATATAGCAGAGAATGTCGCTTCGCAAAGAATAAAACTGCGGTAGTAATCTGAGAGCGAAATAAAATATTATTTCCCTATCAAATCTGTACTACCTTTTCGCTTCGAATTCGATACGGAAAATCGAACAGCCGATTCCTGCATTTATTTTACTTGTCTCTCCATTTCACCTATAATACTCCTCGATCTTCTCTCTCTCTCTTTCTTTTGTCTCTTGAGCAGCCACAGAGTATTCAATAACGTTTATGTGACTGCGGTAATACCGTTTGCGTCATGGGCTTTCCGCAAGAGTTAAAATCGTCTTTCGCAAATGGAAAGGGGATCAGTGGAGGTTGCACAATCAGGCGCGCGTGCCGGTTTACCGGTGGGACGACAAGAAAGGAAGAAAAGTCGACAAGGTGCATATATATATGTATATACGCGTAACATGGAAGCCGATGACGAGGGAGTAGAGCAGAAAGGGCCAAGCTAATTTGTGTTTATCGATTCGACATGAAAGCCCAGGAAAACGCAACGGCCGTCCGCAACGTGTAATTTCACACGAGGAGTAAAATCGGCAAAGCGAATGGAGCTGGAATAATCGTTTGTTGAGGGAATGTTGGAAAATAGCCATTTCTGTCTGTATTACTCGCGAAAGCACTCCCTTCAGGTATGTGAGGGGTATATGGCTATTGCCTGACTATATTTCCTATACCGTGTATATATACGTATATATACATACGGATAAATGCGTATAGCGCGTAATAGAATTACAAGCACGGGGGTCAACAACGATCGTAATTTTAAGGCTGACCACAAAGCCGCGCTCACATCATTTCTCCCGTAGTCACGATGGAATCCGCTCATTATCCTACTAACGTTACTCTACGTATTGTACATTCGGCAATGGCTGATTTTCACTACACGTTACACTTGGGTGTTCTTATTTTTTGCTATACCCTTAGTATATGTATATATATATATATATATATGTATACAATATGACGATTCGTACCTAACCTAAACTGACGTTCGGATAGTCTTTGTCACGTCATATTTTATTTAGCTAAATTGAGAGCTCAGGCTTTTTTCAGCTGATCAAAAAAGAAACGTAATTACCGGAAGTGGGTGGAACTACGGGATTGGGCATTCCATTGAGAGCATGGGGCAGTTGTCCGGCGGCCAGCGCTGCCATCGGATTGATGTATGTTCCTTGCGCCGTTGCGGCGGCCATAAGCGCCGCTTGTTGCTGCAAGAAATTCGGTATCTCAGACGTCTGAAATAATTCCTACGATTCGTAACATAAGTAAATGAATGTCCTTTGAGAATTAAAAAAAAAGTTATTTTTCACACATATCACGGATGAGAATCATCCGTAAAGAAATATGTACCTGAGCGTAAGCGCCATAGGAGCCGAACTGATTAAAGACGAATGGGTTAAGGAGGCTCATGTTCCCAGCCATTTGCTGCATGCGTCTTAGCTGTCTCTCTTTCTCAGTGTCTGCGAACTTTACCACTAGGCTGGATGATGCACCCTGAAACAAACGTTTCGCATTAACGCCGAGGCAAAAGCGGCCCGGAGGCTTTGGGATTAGACAGTTTGGTAAGGAGGCGTACGTGATTCGTGTTTCTAGGTATAGTCATACGCGGGTTATGTTATCGGGTGGAGGTGGGTTCAGATGGATGGAGGTCTGGAGGTATGGGTACCGGGAAAGTAGGTTGAGACTCGGGGGATGAAAGGGGGTCGCATAATCAGGCGTCTACGTCGAATGCGCGCGCTATATTAGATCATAGATGAGAGGTTATACGGTTTAATACAGTCAAGATACACGGGCGGGGATTATAATGGAACGATGTATATATGCCGTAGGTATCGCACGCATCCGGAATGAAGTATCCCTGGCTCCCTTGCCAACCCCTGTTCCAGCCTTTAGCAATCCCGAGCGGGGGTTCCCCGTTCCTATGGGCGTCCTGTAATTTCTCGGTAACCCCGGCTACAGTCCCTCCTCCCTACGCCCCCCCCGCAAGCTCCAACCCCTATAGTGAATGGTACGCGGTTGGTACGTGCTGCGAGCACCTTGGTACTCTCCTATGATGCTATGAATATAAGAGTAGTTATGTCGAAGAACTGTTTCCCATGTATATATGTATATTTTCCTTTATTCCTTTGAACGTCCACGGCTTCATGATCTTCACCGGATGTTCCACTGGTGTGTCTAATTGATATTCTTCGCTGGTAGCTGGAACGAGATAGTCAGTCGTGAGGGTACTCGTGCTTTTGCTGGTATACCGTGGGTTATTGTATATCTCCAGTTGGCTATCGCCGCACAGACCAAGGTGATAAATGAGGGATGCAGGAGCTTATAAATAGACGCGGAACGGATCTGTCAATAGAATCGTCGGGTGGGAAAGCTCGATGGGGATGTATGCGAAGGGGTTTTGAAATTGTTTTCTCGCGTAGGAGGACGCGTCGCGGCGGCAACGGACGCTACGTGAATAAGGAGACGACGCTCTCGGTCGCGACGTCTAAAATATAAATGGAAAGGCAACAGGTGGTCAGTGGCTGCTGTTGTAGCTTAGAGGAGAAAAGCTCGGGTTTTGCTGCCGACCAAAACGGTGATATATTATATTCCACGTCATCAATGCAAATGCTGGGCGTGCCTGAGTTTATAACGGCTGTAATATTAGACGAAGGGAGTGAAATGTCCCGGTTTTCCTTTAAGGGACGACAGAGGGTGTCACGTGACTTTACATTTACATATATGTCCTTTAAAAGACCCACTTTCTACTCTCGCGTAACTTTCAACGCGTTCTATCTCGACGTCTATCCCGAAGAGCATTTTTTACTTGGTCGGAAGAGAATTTTGGATTGGCAAAAAAAAGAGGCCAGGTTCGATAACCTGTTAGGGTGACTTTTTTAGTTATGAGGGAAGGCGGGGGGAATTCGGCAACTCGATACCTTTCGTGTAAATTACAGAGGAGCCAGTGCGACACGATTTCGTGACTGATTAGCGGACTCGGGGATATTGGATTTTCTACTCTGTGTTTATAGGCGGCATCGATTTTCTCACAACTTTGACCAGTTTGCCAGCTTCGTGTGGACTCTGGAGTAACGAGACGTCAGTCTGATGTGTGTTTACCGAGAACTAGTCTGGCCTTTATTTTTTTTATTTCCCAACACGACAAACTTTAACACCCCTTGGATATATTCTGTGCGCTGAAATGACCCTACTGGGAGTTCGTCTTTACACGTTCGCTATTATTATCCTATTACTGGCGAGTTTTAAAAGGTTGGCATTACCGGTTTAAAAGGTAGATTCGACGAGCAATTACTATAATAAATATGGACTGTAACGTAGACCGAATGTACTTTCGTGACGAAACGTCGTTCTCTCGTCTATATCTCAACACTCTATCAAATGTAGGCGTGTATGGAAAAATTCGTTCGGGCAGAAGGTTAGTGTTATCGATCATGGTGATATAATTTACATTGATGAGCAATACCGTTAATTTCATTTTTGTTTCACGTATAATTAGCAGGCACGGCCGAACCTCTTGGTTATTTCGCATCGCGATAACGATCCCCATGGGATATACTAGGAGAGAGAGTTCGCGGGGAGGGTTGAAAAAAGGGGTTGTTGGCTCGCGTAAAAGGGATGATACCGGGGGGAGGGGCGGGTTGTAAAGTAAAACCTTGATAGAGACACCAATTAAAGCAGTTTGAGGACGCCCGCTCTTTATCACGAATGGAACGTTATATGCTTGAAGCCGAATCTCTATGGAACGATATCACTGACAAAGCTGACAAAGCTGACCGAGGTAAAAGGCGGTTTTCATGTGTGACGTAACGACGCTCTCGATGGCGATGCTGATGCCAGCAATGGCGGACGCGTCGTTATTTGGAATTCAACGGGACAGACCAGTCCGAGCTCCAAATGGAAACTGGTAACATAATATTACAGAATTGATATACAGTCAGAAGACCAGAATGCTTTACCATCTATTCGGTTCGATCGTTTGCTCGTTCATCCCTTCGTTATTGATGCCTGCAATTCATCCTCCGAGCGGCTTCACTTTGCAAGGACTTATTGGAAGCTCGGAGAGCTCAAGAGAATTTGTCGCTGGTTGAGTATTTCGTTACACCCTTAGATTCAACACCCGTCTCCACCAATTTTTATATGACATGCCGGTATTTTTCAATCGCTGCTGAATTTTATACGTCAAAGCTGTTTAAGGAAAGATTTATGGTTACGTATTCGAGTAGTATCGATTGACTTTGTCGAAGCTTTGGATATTTTTTTTTTCGAGCTTTTCGCCACCTCTTTTTACTTCCTTATGACGTATAAGGACGAACTTTGAACTTGTGTATGGATTATATGAATCTGCACTGGTTTTTGTGTCACAGAGAATTTTCGAAGAATCCGGTTTTGCGTCTCACGTTGGAGATAATTAAAAGTTTTATTCTAGCTAAGAGAGACCTCCTCTCCTCACTCTTCCACTCTTCTCTACGTTAGAACTCCGCGTAAGCTGTGCTCGATCGGCTAGCCTAAAAGTTACAGGTCATAAAAGTTATGCAAGTTCCGTGGGGTTACAAGTTTCCGCGTTACGCGAACTAATATTGCTCGCTTCTCCCTCTTTATCCCTTTTTTAATCTATATATATATATATATATATATATATATATATATATATATATATATATATATATCTTCTCTCCTTCGTGTCACTTTTTTTTCTCAAATCCACGTGCCTCTTCACTTCTGTTACGTTTCGCTTTAGTGAGTCTCGAGTAAAAACTTTTGAAATTGTTTGTACGATTGCCTAACTCTGGTACGTGGGATGTGTGAATGTGCGAGAGTATATATGTACGGTACGAGAAAGAAGTATTAGTTGAAAAATGTATATGTTAAAAGTTTTTCAAAGAAATCAACAAATAATTATTCGAGACTTTAAATTTGATTTGGCCAGAAGCTCAAATTTTTTTATTTCTTTATCCAATGTTTCTACCGATTATTAGACTGCAAAATTGAACAGATTCTCCACTTGCATTGTTTCGATGCGCAGAGAAGAGATTCTCATGATGAGGCAGTATCCCGCTCTTCACCCCTTTTGGGCTCCACCTAAGCCCAAAGCTCTCTATAGACCCAGCCGAGAGTGAGATATTAGCAACCCCCTTCCGTACCCTCGAAATCCTAAAATATCACAGAGATAACTTTTTCTTTTTTCGTCCTCCCACCCTTGGCGGTCCCTTTCTCTCTTTTTCGCAGGCGACTCTAATGCCAGGAAATATGATGGTAATCAGCCTGTGAAATTCAAAGAACGATATCCGTGGACATCGGGTCCACGTAGGATATAGTTTTATATGTAGCACCCCTCTAACTGTACACACCCTTCTAATTTAAACCTTATATATCATATACATATATACCTATATCTACTTACGCAGATCCTTCTGCATGGATGCTGCCTGCAAACATCTAAAATTCTCTCTCTCTTTCTCTGTAGCTCTGCTTCTATATGTATAAGAGTGCCTGTATATATATATGTATATATCATCACCCTACGCCCACTTTCTCTCACTCTCTCGTCGTCTATATGCATCTCTTTCCATGTAAACACGTATGTATCTCGCTGGATGGCTGGCTGTAGGTACATATACATATGTATATATGGGGGTAGGTCCTATCAGCGCCAGTGGAGCCCGAAGCCTCATTATTGGGGGATTACAGTTCATTAGTCCCGATCCACCGTTCCGAACGACACGGGAAAGGGACAAGGGACCCCGAGCGATATTATATATACAGGGTGCTCCAAGATATCAGTGCTGCAGCCTCTGAACCAGATTGAAAATTCAAGAGAGGGATGAGTTGGCATCCCGAGGATAATTTTTCTTCTTAGACAATGAATCCTCTCTTAATTTTTTTTTAATGTCGTTTATGGTAATTCCTTGTCATTAAATCCTTGTTACCAAAATGGCGTGCACCCACTTGCAACAATCATACGTTGTAACGATACATTTTGCAAGGTAAAATGTATTTTGACGATACAAACACGGCCGTAGAAGCGTAAATGGTTTTCTTGCTCTCTTTTTCTTTCTCCTCGGGAAGCTTCTGCACTTGGGGAGCATCGACGTGTTATGGTTTGCAGGTAGCAAATATTTATCGAGGCGTCTTTCCTGCCTGCGAAATAATGCATCGGGTAGCTTCCCTTAGGCTTCCCACTTGACTCACCCTATTTATATTCGAATAGGTATATTCGAATATCGCCCCGAGGAGACTGGCTGAAGGCATCAAGAAAAGTCAGGCCAGCCAGTCACCCTCAGCCCTGCTAGCCCATCCCCCTAGTGATTTTTCGAAGATCACTCCGGGATTTCAATGGCAGATACGTGTCAGGTATTTGATTGCCGGTACTGCACGACATTGACGTTCGCATAGCGTTCACCTGTTTATGAGTATCGCATTAACGCACGGATTGCACCCTGTACTCCAACCCCCTCGGAATTACTTGAGCCACCCAGCCCCATGTTTATGGGTTA